TGCGGTAATTGCGCTCAAAACACACCAAAGACTTGCCAACCTGAAGAAGACGAACGAGAAGATTTACGATGACAGATCAGAATCCTAAAAGGGATTTAGTACTTGCAATCAACATAAAGACTACGATGTGCAAAACACTACGATAGTGGTAGAAAATGCATAATGTTCGGAAAAGAACATTCAAAACATTACATACAATCGTATAGCATTTAAATCTATATGATAGACGTCCTTATCTCTAGGATATCGTTTAGAAAGTCCTCGCAGAATAGGCAAAAAGTATCTTTGGTTTTGAAAGATACGCGTAAGCATTATCGTACCTTGTCCGCTGCAAGGGTGAAAGCGTTTTTGAATTTTTGTAATTCATTCCTGACATCCTCAGGTGCGGCAACGATAGACTGTATGTGTCCTAAAAGTTCATTTGAAGGAAGGATGGAAACAATCTAAATGCTTCTAGCAAAGCATCGCATCTAAGTACCTATGCTGAGCACCATCACATGATCTTCAACAAGCGGTCCTTTGGGCATAGCAGCATAGCAGGAATCACCCACAGCTACGACAAGATGTTTTTCAACGTCTACGTTCGATAAACAGAACCAGCATGGAGCTGCAGGGACCTTCTCTCCGGCTGTGTTATCTAGAAACCAGGCGTGTTAACTTCTAATTGGTTTAAAATAGTTCTTTTGGTACAATGCCTCTAAGAAATGGAACATTCAAAACCAGATATGACACACGAAAGCTGAGACGGCTTTTAAACCTCATAGAGCTTCATACGGTACATAGGCAGTCTTATAATTCGCCCCCAGCTTACCATTCCTTCTCCTCTTTCTGCCACCTCTATCCACATTGTCTTCTACTTCTGCAGACATGTCAAATCGATATCGATCCACATCGTCATGGTTTTTGGTTCTTTTCAGCTGCTCCCTAAAGCTTTTTTTGCAAACATTTGACCGGTACTCTTGAAAGAATAACATACGCAGCCATTAGTTCTTGTAAGATGTCCATATAAGGAAATTCAGATGAATTTGCTGGTTGAG